GGTCTGCGTCATCATGGTGCGTCTCGAGAAAGATCAAAAAGTCATACCGTACACGCCTATGAGCGTCCCACATACACATGTCATCCAGTAAGTCCCCATAGTCACAAAACTTGGCATGCAAGTTCTGGATATTGAGACAGAAGAACGTCAGATGGGGGGGCGGAGTGCCAGCCGAAGGGGCAAAAGCCACAGCTCCTCCGGGAGGCATGGGCTGCGCACGACGCGTAGGCCGACGGCCGCCCCTGCCTCCCTTCGGTTTGGCCGTAGCCTGCCCCCGTGCAGCCGGACGTGCCCTCTTCTGTGGACCCCTGCGTGTCTGTGTCTTTCCACCCCTCCCCCCTCCCCTGGCCTTGGCCTTCCCATGCAATGCGACCACCCACAGTGCCCACCCTGCGACACACAACAGCGAGACAGAGACCCGCCCACTCAGCAGCACGGATGCTACACATGCACGTACTGCCAGATGATGAAGCTGCCAAAAGGGCAGCCAGCCAGTGCGAGAACATTGCATGAGCCATTGAATGGCATGCAACCGATGCAAGTCACTGGGTGGGTGCCATCGCTCCCATCTGCGAGTAGGGGGGCGGGAAGGAAGAGAGTAGAGAGGATACAAGCGAGGCGGGCAGTAAAGCAGGCACATACAAGCTTGCATGAGGACAAGCAAGGTCACAGTGAAGAGAGTGAGTAGGAGGTATAGAAAAAACAGCAGCGTGGCGACGTGTGGCGGAAAACGGAGGGGTATGGGCAGCCATAACAGAAGGCTGCGAGTAAGTGGCCACCACGATAACGTCGCCAAGGAAAGACCCGACAAGTAAGTGCCTGAAAAAGACCATTCGAACCAGGAGGGCACACAAACCAGCCAGACAGAACGACCATAAAAATTGGTTACGCTTCTCGATTTGTGCGTGTCATCCTTGCGCAGGGGCCATGCTAATCTTCTCTGTATCGTTCCAATTTTAACAGATGGGCAGCCGAAGCAAACCCATTGTTTGAAGCGCAAAATGCGAGCTTTGGCGCGGTGGGCGTCCTGTGGGCGTCTCAATGTACCGTGATGTGTTGGACAATTGGTGCTGGATACGAAAGACTCGCTCCTGACTACATGACGCGTGTCGACAATCGGGATCACCCACTTGACGGTGCACACATGCCTTCATGTCAGGGTGTTCATTCGTCATTCAGTAGTCCTCAGTTTGCGCGCAACAAATGCAGCTGTTTGGCTGGTCGGTTGGTCAGTGCGGTGTGCTGGCGGCTTCGGCTGCCGCGACGAGTGGACTTGCGGCGAGTGGAGCGGAGCCACTCGCGTGCAGTGCGGACATCTGCCTCTTGACGAGATCAGCGAGCGAAAGAAAAGTCACACCTATACATAGCACACACAGATGCACCACACACACCGACGTCTCTGTCTCCGTCTGTGGACAGATGTGTGTGGACTTGCCTTGCTTTTTGTATGCCTTCTGTGCCTGACGCTCCCTCAGGACGCTCTCGTTGGTCGAATCGATGAACCTCTCCTGACACACGCCACACCACCACACAACATGAGTGCGTGTCTCCCTCCTTCTCTCTCTGTGTCTTGCCTTGTATGGTTTGATTTTGCGCAGGCTCGAGTCGATTCGGTGTCTGAACATCTCGATGGCGTACGGGTCCACACTCACAAAGCCGGCGGGCGGCTTGTTCGTCTGGGGACCTTCGTTCTCCTTCACACCCAACTGCACACCATCACCAACACACGTGTCTCTCTCGTGTGCATTCTCGTGCGCACTGACCATGGTCTGTATTTTGGCAAGTCGATCAACGGCGCGGTCTGTCGCTGCAAGAACACGCTTGAAGGCCTCATCGCCGCGCTGGATGTCCTCCGAGTCGCTCGACCTCAGAGGCACCGACGCAACGACGCGAGAGGCCTCGTCCATCTGACACACACATATTCGAAATGGAGGTCTGATACATCGATGTATGTGTGCGTCATGGTGTGCGTGCCTTGTTGGCGTCCTCTCCGAGCATGTCGATTTGTTGACCGAGAGCAGCTGAGACGCTTTGCTGCACATTGGCGCGGCGCCTGAGTGCATCCAGCACGGGAGTAGACAAGTCCTTCAGCTTCACCTGCACACACAAAAATCCACACATTCACACACGCCAGTGGGCCTGGCTTCGCGGACTTGTGTGTCCTGGAGCTGTGTGGCGTCCGACGTGTACGTCTTGGCCAACTTTAACGCCTCGCCGACGCTTGCGAGGCTCTCGTTAGCCGCCGTGGCCTGATCCATCCATTCATCGATCCATCCATCCATATGCCAGCACAAAGAGATGAATATGGTATTCTCACTTTGTTCATGAGATCGCCCCTCCGCGCCTGACGCACACAATGAGTGGAACGTATGCACAGCCGCGCGTGTGTGTGATTTAGACGTGTGGGTGTGCTTACGGTGAGGTAGAGGAGGTATTGCTTGTAGAAGTCCTTGCACATGGCGGCTGAAGTGTGGAGAGAGGGCGATCGCATGTCCTCCTCGACCACAAATGGCACCATCACCTGACTGCACTGCAAACACACACACACGACAGGATAAGACACAAATCACCGTGGCTGTGTGCCTCCGTCAACGCTCACGATCTGTGTGTATTGCGGGTCGGTGACTGCACACACAGAGACACAAAGAGGGGGATGTCGATGTGTGTCTCTCTCCCTTTGTCTGTCTATGTTAGACACTCACTGATGGCGGGGTACTTCTTGCAATATGGATTGAATCCTCTGAAGCAGTAGCGCCTGTCGTATCCCAGCACCCCAACGCCGATCTGAACGCACGTGTTGTAGGCCATGGAGATCTTTTCGCAGTCGTCGCGCTGCTGGGGCGAGAAGCTCAGCGTCTTGCTCTCAGCACGATCAGAGTCCACCTGACATTCGCCAACAATATCAGCCATGGACGATAGACTCTCTCTGTGTGCGTGTTGGCTTGCTTGGATGGTTTGTTTGAGGTAGGACATGGAGCAGAATAGTGAAGGGTTGCGGATCAGACCTGAACCCACCTCATAACTCTCACACCTGCACACACACGAACACACACATCATGAGAGACACAGGCTATGTCTTTCTCTCTCTCCTCCGTGACTGACCGAGCGGCCGATCGGCTGAGGGCGTTGTCCTTGTCGCACGTCTGGATGAGATCACTAGTCAGGTCGCGCGTCTCACGGCACGACACATCTGCCTCGTAGCTCTCAAACTTGACCTGCAGACAACACGGCGAGTGGAGAGAGACACACTCTGTGTGGCTGCATGCCGCCCATACCTTGCAGAGGGCGTTGCTGATTCGGTCATAGCAGCCCTTGCTGGCAAAGGGACTCCCGGTCAGGGCATCAGAGCCGACGCCCCGAAGCGCACGCTCGCACGACGGATGAAACGAAGTGGCCTGAACAAACAAACCCACAAATAATCAATCAACGACGCAATGATTCCAATCGACTTGTCTGTTGGAATTGTCTCTGACTTTGCTGCCCCAGTCCTCCAGGTCAGACACGACGTTCATGCAGACGGACTCGATGTTGGACAGCGGCGATAGCGGCTCGGCGCCGAGACACAGCAGCGGGGCAAGCACAGCCAGTGCTGCGAGGAAGACAAACACTGCCGCCATTCTGTGTGTGTGTGTGTGCTTGTCTCTGTGTGTCGTATGTCGACGGTGAATGAATGAATCCGCTGCTCAGTCAGCGGAGTGTGCGCTGGCCATGAGAGAACAGACAATGATTACGTATACATGTATATGTCACAGTGTGTGTACAAGCAGGCGCGCGCATTATTTGCCAAGTAGCCACGACACTCACAGATACATTGCAATTGATTGACTGTCACGCACGGATGCACTCTCACTGAGCGCACAAATGGATGATGATTCAATCAGCGTATCAGTGCGTTGACTTGATGTCGGTCCTCTCACTCGACATGGAAAGTGTCATTTGCACACTCAACATGGAGCCGTCCACGGCGTTCTCTCCCGCCCACTCCCTCACTCATTCAGTGTGTCTGGCTATTGCACATCGAGTTTCATCACGGCCATCGCCTCCCCTCCACCGCACGTCAACACCAGCCGCCCGCCACACATGCCGCCTCCGAGAGGGCCGCGCACCCCAAGGCTGCTGGGCTGCGAAGGAGGCAACGACGCGACAACCTGAGACGAAGTCGCGTCGGTGGTGGGCGGAGGGCTCTCACGCCGTCTGCGGGGCGCAGAGGGGAGAACCGTCCCGCATCTCAACGTCGTCGCCACCTGCAGGTCGCTGCCCAACACGATCACGTTGCCGCCTGCATGCCAACATACACGCCAAAGTGAGGGAACTCTTGTGTCTGTCTGTGTCGCTATCGGTTACCCGCAGTGAGGACGCAGAGGAGGAGGCCCTCCTGCGCGCTCGTGTGTGGCAGCTGGACTCGGGAGAGGAAGAGGTCTGTGACGGCGGTGTTGGCGTCTTTTGCCTCCAGACCGCCCTCTCTGACAGGCACTGAGCGAGGCGACCCACCCACAGCCACGGTCGTCAGGTCTATCTGACGGATCATCTGAAAAAGACAGACGCAATCCATCGCTCCTTTTGTTTCCTTCGACTTGCATACCTCTCCGTCGGCCGTTCTGAGCATAAAGAGGTCGCACTCTCTGCCGACGACCACCGCGCCCCTGCCCTCGATGAACTCGCCCACCACCAGCCCCCCTCGCCGCGTCGACCCCGACGTCGGCGTGCACGCCGTCCACTGCAGCGCCAGCCGATCGCCCACCACCACCAGCATTGCCGTGCTCTCTATCGCTTCCGCCGGCTGCCTTGCCGGCTGTGAGTAGGTGGTGGAGAGCAGTGCGACGTGTCCGCTCGCCCAGCAGAGGAGGACAGAGGTCTCGTGGGCGGTGCCGGCCCCCTCGCCGTCGTGAAGGGCGATGATGGAGTGGTGCGCTCGGATGGATGTGACGGCAGTAGACGTGGGCGCAGCACTCCCACCACCAGCAGCAGACGGGGCGGACGCGAGCGGCTCGGAGGGGACATCCACAATGAGTGGCGTGGTCTTTGCGCTGGGCTGGTTGACCCGCAGGCCGTACGCGAAGACCTCTCCGCCACGTGTGCCGACACACACCAGGCCAACTGCACACACACAGAGGGATAGAGAGAGGAAGAGGTGCAGGCCATGGAGTGGATGCGGCAGGCCATGGAGTGGATGCGCACGTACCAGCGATCTCAGAGATGCATGTGAGTGGATGCCGGCACTGCGCCACGTCAATCTGACATAAAGAGCATCGCCGAAGGAATGCCATACGCCGGACACATCTGCTTGGCGGTCCTTACCTTTGCGAGTTGCCTGGGTGTCGTCAGCTGAAAGGCTCGCGCCGTGCCGTCCTCCAGTGCAGCCATCACCACCCAGCCCCCCTCGCCCTCCGCACCACCAGCCGCCCCCTCCTCCCCAGCGACACGCACAAAGGCGACGTCATTGCACTGGTGCTTGAGGGCGTATGCCCTGACTTGGTCGATGCGGCCGCTGGCGTGAGAGGGACCAGGGGGCCTGTCTGACGGCAGCGATGCCATGGTGGTGGAGGGAGGGTCGGCCTGCCACACCCGGAGGCTGAGGTCAGACGCCGCCGTCGCCACCCACGTCTGCAGACACCACACGAGCAATCAACAAGCAGAGATGGAGATTCCTGGTCGATCTCTGCACCCACCTTTGGCCGTGGCAGGTTGGCGCTTTGTGTCTTGTCGTCCGTCGGCTTTCTGTGGGTGGTGCGGGGTGAGCGTGAGGCTGTCACGGCCGGTTCCGGCGGCTTTGGTGTGAGGGTGAGTGTGTCTAGGCATCGGATGGGCTGAGTGTGGGACGTCCAGACGGGAGTGCGCAGCCGACTGACCCAGTTGACACACCAGATACTGTTGGCATCAGTCGCCACCACACCCTGCACAAAACAAAGATGCAGGCAGGCAGGCACATACACGCATACAGAGGATGGAGTAGCCCTTTTTCTCTCTCTCTCTCTCTACCTGTTGCAGAGTGCTATCAAACGCCACGCTAGAGATCCTGCCGTCAAACACCAAGGCCTGAACCAACCAACCAACCAACCAACACCACCCGAAGGAAGGCAGGCAGTGTCTGTGTCACACTGGGGGTGGATGGTGCTCACTTGCGCAGACATCCGGGGCGGCATCGGCTGCTTGACGGGGTCCTTGCCGCCCTCCCTGTCGACACACGTCGGTGCGTGGCTACATTCGTGAGGATTAGTGCATAGCATCTGCCTGTCTGTGGCAGGCGCGTACCTGCCTCTGGCCGCCAGCAGATCCACTGTGCACTTGGTGAGGCTCCGCGACGCGTCTAGGGTCACCAGCAGCTCACGCGAGCGAAAACACGCTATGCACCCTATACCCACACCCACACCCCCCCACACACACGCAGATGCAATGTCAACAAAGTGACCAGAAGAACGTACCGATGGATTCGTCCGCCACTAGCATGTCGTAGATGACTTTGTTGTGCGAATCGGAGAAGGACACCTCGAGGGCGTACACGTAGCCCAGACGGGTGGCCACGAGAAGCAGCAGGGGGCTCTTCATGTCACGCCGCGTGAAGCACGCACACGTCGCCACGTCGTGCACCTGGCTCGGCTCGCCATCGCTGTCTTGTGGCCGGTCACGCACCAGGGGAATCGCCGCCTCCATAAACTGTATCACCCACACCAGTGACCATTCTCCTTCGCCCATCCTCTCTCTCTCTCTCTCTCTCTCTCTCTTCTACCTGAGCGTCGGCCCCGACGCGAGCACCAGCAGCCTCACCGCCAGCAGTGTTCTCGATGACGCGCCACAGCAGGACACCTTTGGGCGAGAGCGTCACGAAGTCCATGGGGGCGCTGGGCGGGGCGGACACGATGGCCGTCAGGGGGTGGGGGAGGGTGTCGATGCGCTTGATGGGCTCGAGCTGCTCGACCGAGTACGGCGGCTGGAGCGACCCCAGGCTCCAAATGCACAAGTGAGCACCACCTACCATCCAGAAAACAGAGAGACTGATGTCGGGGAAAGAAATGAGCACTGCCTCTCTTGACGGTTGTTCACCTCCTGCGATGAGATACTGCGGCGTGAACTCCACTAGCAGCGGCCTCGTGTATGCGAACCCCGCCAGCGCCATTCTCCGGACGCTTCTCGCCTTCAGGTCCCACACCACCAACACGACCGGTGCCGTGCCCTCGGCCATTGGCAGTGGCAGAGGCCCCTCAGGCCCCCAATGCTCCTGCGGAGCGTGCAGTGCAGCCAGAAATGCCGCGTCCTTGGTCGCTGCCATGGCCACGATCGGCCCATTGGGAGGGCGACCCGGCAGCTCGGGAGCCACCAGCACAAACTGATGACGCTGTGACGGCGATGCCGACGGGAGAGAGACACCTGTGCCGCTGACCCTGCCCTCCCGCGCCGGTTCGTCGACGTGGATGGCCGAGCCGACAGCATGGCAGAGCAGCCCCCGACCAGCGAACCACAAGGCGGCTCCCTGGGGGCACTTGGCCGGCGTGCAGCCGCTCAGACCCTCCAGCTGCAGCCGGTAGGTCAGTGGTGGTGGGGGACCTTCACGTTTGTCTTCTTGTGTCTTGGTGACGGCTGGCGACAGAGGGGCGGCAGCAGGGGCGGGCGAGGCGGGAGGGGAAGAGGACAGATCTGGGGAGGGGACTCTTTCGGCTGCGGCTGCAACTGGAACCGATGGTGCTGGTGGTGGGGGCGGGGGTGGGGGAGGGGGCATGGGGGCGGGCTGCAGGTCCTTCAGTGGCGTGTTCACGAAGACCTCAGTGGTGGTTGGGCCCTCCTTGATTGGCGGCTCCCGCTGCTGCTGGACGGTCTTGGCCACACCCCTGCCGCGCGTCACCCTGGTGCCGACGGGTGCTGCCCCAAGTGACGGGAATTTGGCAGGGATGGCCTCCTCCAGCGCCTCTGTGACACTCGGCCTGACCTTCCACAACACTGCCTCCTCAGCCCCCACAGTGACGACCCACTCGCCGCACGCCATGACGTCGCGGATGACGCCGTTGTGGCCCTTGAAGGCCGCATAGGGGGGGACGGGCGCATCGGCCATGGAAGTGGAGGACGCCTCGCGCTCTTTGTCTTTGTCCCGTGCACCTTGATCAGCAGTAGCGGCGGCACGGAGGCTCTTGGCGCTCCCGCTGCCCACCATCTCGGGAAGGACGGGCCGGGGAGCCGCGCCGTGGAGGTCGTAAGCCTGACATAGACGAGACCAAGTCGCCTTTGTTTGACGTCCATGTGGTCATTTGTTCGCTCACCCTGAGGTATCCGTCATGGCCGCCGACGAGAAGCATGTTGGGGAGCGGGTCCTTGCGTGAGAAGGGCACGGCTGCATCGGCCCCCTCGCCATCATCGCCTGTCGACGGGCCCTCCAACGGGCCTTCAGTCGACTTGCCTGGAGGACTATACGAGCTTAAGCAAACTGTCGGGATCGAACCTGACACAAGCAGATGAGAAGACAATCAGCTGTGCAATGGGACTTCCCAATCGTACCCATTGATAGGGCGAAGTCGCACATCGACAGTGGGCAGGGGTTGTCCTCTGGGATGGGCAGGGGGAACAGACTCACTGTCGACCGCGACGTGGCCACCACCACCGCTCGGCTGTCGGCCGCCACGCTGTAGGTGCTGATCTGTGCGGTGGCCGGCTTCCCCAGCAGACGCAGGCGACCACGGAAGTCGAAAGCGGGCAGCTCGAAGACCCCCAGGGCCCGTCCGTCGAGCCATCTCACGGCGAAGAAGCTGTCGGGTGAGAAGACGATGGACGGGCAGCCCGACGGCACCTCCTGGAGCGAGGGGCATCGCATCGCACAGGCATCCATACGATATATCGAATCATGCGTCGGTGTGGTGGTGGTGCATCGTGTGGTGTTGACCTCACCTGTATGCCAGGGTTTGGAATGCACCGAACGACCTCGAACGTGTTGCGCTCGTCGTGAAGGCACAGATCTGGCAAACAGACAGGCAGAGAGGGGAAAACAGAGGAGAGTGGATCCGTGTGAGCAAGAAATATGGATGGATGGATGGATGGTGGGGTGGTTTGGTCCAGCTGACCTCCTCGTGTGTCGCACGTCACGAGTCGGCAAGTGGGTCTCGCCTCGGCCTCCAGCGGCATCGTCAGGAAGTGCATCGCCGTGATAGAATGCTGCACGCATTTTCCATGCAGTGAGCCATACGTATGTCCACACACAGTTGTCAGTGTCCCATCTGCTCCCACGTACCTGATGGGTGCGCGACTCCATGACCCTCTCCGTGCTGAAGACAGCAAGACCCACACACAGCTCAACCAGCGTCAACCGATACATTGACTGGCGTGCTGTCTGATGTGCGTACGTGTCAAGGTCCAGGATCCGCAGGGCGCCCGTGGCGAAGCCCACAGCCACGAGGTGGGCGTATGGATGCATTGCCACCTGGGTGGCCTCACTCTCCAGCTGGAACTCCAACTGCTGCACTCACGGAGAAAGGAATACCATGAGTCCAGTGGGTGGGCTGTATGTCTTGGTGGGTGGATGGAGGCACACACCATCAAGAGTGACGGGAGCCGCCACACACGGAGAGTGTTGTCCTTGGCAATGCTCGATACCTCCTGATACGCACCTGGACGGACGGACGGACGATGCAACACAGGTAGGTGCGAGCGTCGATCACTTGCCTGAGACCGCCAGATGGATGTACGGCTGCGTGTGAGTCCGGACGAGGGTCTGGTAGTGCTGATCGCGCACATTCAGGACACCCACGCCGCCCTCGAGAGTCCCACACAACACCTACAAGTGAGGGCAGACAGACAATCTCCAGCCACATCCACCGCTGCATCTGTGTTGGTCTCACCTGTGGTCCGTCCGGGTTGATGTCGAGTGACACTGTGGGCGTGTCGTGCTGAGCGTGCATGTAGAAGCTCGAGAAGTCCAACGGCCACACCCTGGCCACACACACACAGCCAGACGCCGCTCGCTTGGCCTGTTGGTCACTTGTGGGAGGATGTGTTAAGGTCGCTAGCATGCCGGAGGTATTTGTCTTGGCTGACAGTGAAGCAGAAGCCCTCGTTGACGGCAATGTCCCAGATGGGGCCATCGTGGGCCGGGTGACACTCCCGGAACCTGCGACTCGAGTAGTCCACCTGAGTCGACAGACAACGCGCACACAGAGAAAGATACACGGATGTTGCGTCGACGGAAAGGCACACAAGTCTCTTTACTGGATCATGGTATTACGCACGCACCTCTATGACTTGCCCTGTGCTGCATCCCACAAACACACGGCTGTGGAGGGGAAGGTCCGACCCTGCACAAATACACACACACACACACACGCAAGTCCGTCCATCCATCCATCCGAGAGGCTTTCCTCGCTGCCTCTCTCCCTCTCTCACAACACACACGTGCCTGAGAAGTACGGCCGTGAGTTTCGGTCGCACTCAAAGTCGAGGGAGGTGAAGAACTTCCCCCGGGCGAACTGGTTCTCGAACTCGACAGAGCAGCCCGGCAGATGGCCGTTCTGCACACATCGTCACACACAGCACCCGACACACACACGACACTTGCTGTCGTTGGTGCATGCGACAAGAGGGAGCTCTCCCGTCTTTGCTGGCCGACCTTGATTCTGTAGAACCGGATGTTTTCTTTGCCGCAGGAGACCAGCCTGCCCTCCTCAAAGGGCGAAAACCGGATGCAGCACACATCGAAGTCCGACACTTGGCGTGCGATCTTCGGACACTGACAGACAGACAGACGATGGATGCACGGTAGCGTTCGCATGAGTCAGGCAGGTACACATGAGTGCGCGTCCTTCGCGAGGTGCTACCGATGCTTCCTTGGTCAGTCTCAGTGCGAAGACGAAGATCTCCTGACGCTTCTGGTGGTCAATCCCCGCTACCTGCCCACACACAAACAGACGAGCACTCAATCAGCCGCCTGTAGAATGCGTTAGTCCGTCGGATCCCTCCCTCCCTCCCTCCCCCCCTCTGTGTGTGTACCACAAGCTGTTTGGCCCGGAGGTCAAAGTCCAATGCCAGCACCTTGACGAGCGGCGTCAGCTCGGCTGCAGCAAATGTCTGGACAGAGAGGCAGGCAGGCAGGCAGGCAGGCTTCGGTCCACCAGGAGACCTCGGACATTCCGCTTACTTACCGCGACTACACGCAGCGGCCTCCGCACCCCGGGGGTCTTGCTCATCTGCCATATCCTGACGAACGACCCAAACACACACACACACGCACAGTGAGTGTGGCGACGAACGGGATATGCTATGCTGTTCTGTTCTGCAGACCAGACCTACCTGATCATTGGCCCCTTGTCATTCTGCAGGCTGGCGGCAAAGCACCCGTCGTCGCTCACGTGCACATACTCTATCGGAGCGGTGTGCGCAAACTCATGGGACTGCTCCCCTGCAGTGCAGCCACCCAACCACCCGACCCACGCACACCACATCGACGAAACAGACCACCCACCCAGACAGACAATCGTACAGTACACCTCCGCCCCACATGGCCTCCGGATTTCACTGACTGACTGACTGGCTGACCTGAGTCGGGGTCCATGACTACAAGTGCCGACGAAATGGCCATGAGTACGCGCGTCTTGCCCTCGGCCGCACCCGTGGTGGGTGCGGGTGCGAGGGGGTCGGACGGGCAGCGCACCCAGACGGCGTGCCGATGCCTCTCACGCGATGCACTCGACAGACCCATCATGCGATGCGGACTCAACACAGGATGCCTGTGGCAATCAATCAATGCCACACACACACGGACGCACACACAGAGACAGATGCCATGGAGGAAGGACCACCCATCGCATAAACCACCTACCTCATGACATGCGACACCGACGGCTGCCCAGGCTGCGCACTGACCATGACCGACTGGCCAGCCCCCGGCCCCCGAACCGACGCCGCGCTCTCAGCCTGTCCCGCATGCAGATCCACCGGCACCGACATGGACGGTGGCGAGAGGGAACGAATGTGACGCCGATCCATCTCGTCCATATCGTCGCGATGATGCCGGGATGAGACCGTTTCTCGGTGACCGAGTGGTGGCGACGGCCTTGGGGGTGCGGACGACGGCCTGGGTGGGTGGGGAGGGATCTCCTCGATAACGTCGTCATCCTCCCGCACGCCGCGTGCAGGTGGCATGGGCGAGGGAGGCTGAGGCTGCTCGGAGCCCTCCGTCGTGGCCGGTGCAGTTGGGCGGACGTGAGGGGCGTTTGGGATATCGAGCCATCCGAAGGTCGAGTCCCAGCTGCCGTCACTCACGTGCGCAGAGAAGCGAAGCTCACGGGGAAGGGTCTGGAGGGGGGGAGGAAGAGAGAACAAAGGGCCTTGTGCTTTGTGGGTGTCTGTCAGGGCTCCCGAGTGACTTGACTTACGTGCGGCAGGTAGAGGGCGTCAGAAGTGAAGACGCCGCGTATCTTGAGGCAGGAGCAGACCTGGATGGCCTTGAGTGTGTGGCAGGAGGGCAGCTGACGGGTGAAGTGCGACAGCAGCGAGGGGACGTGCACACACACCACACTCCAACAGCT